TATATATATATATATATATATATATATATATATATATATATATATATATATACGGTAATTAATGTGATATTCTGGATATGAGAGATATTCAGCTGAGGGTTATCACCCTTTTAGAGCAAAATAATATTATACCAATGACAGACTAGGAAAATATAGTTTAATAGGAGACTGCAGGATTAATTAAATGTAAAATTAGCAAAGGTTGTTTCTGCTTTGCGAAACAAAGCACCACAAATATATGTGTATTATGAAAAGTAACGATTATTGCAAAAACTGGGAATAAAATGAAATATTCTACTACAAAGATTAAGTAACGACAGATCACCTGAGGCAATGAATCACTTCCACCAACCGGGATGGCGTCCTTTTGATCAGGGTCCACAAGAGTTGGACCGGTATACACACCGGTCGACGCAGACACATTTGGCAGGACGCCACCTTGAACATCTGCAGCCATGTTTTGCACGAAAGCTTCTAGCTGACCAATAGGTCTTAAGATCTGACGGATCGGAGGTACACCATCTATGACTGGCAAATTATCCTATGAGAACAAATGGGAAAATCATTAGCAGATTATCCAACGACTTAGGATAACTAAGTGTCTCTATGAAAAGTACTTGCATTATTTTTATAACATTAGGAGTTCACAGTAAAAGGGGTGAACACTGCTATGTAATAAGCTAGCAGAGAAATAAACGCAGCGAAAGCATTCGGGATAATCTGGTTTCAGGGGTTCTGTTTTGGAAAGTGAGGATCGTATCCGGAGAGAGAGAAAAAAGAGGATATTGCTTTGCAGTTTAATTCTCTAAACAAAATGAATGTTTGAAAACAGATTACTGAGAACCAATCACGAGGCACAAAAACAAGCACTTTGTATGAATAATGATTAGTACATGAGTGACTAGACACAATTTTCCTGGAAGCACACGACTGGTTTCGCGGTTCTTGCCGCTCGTAAGGCATGTGTTTCTGGCCAATCGTATACTACTTATTATGAAATATCCCATAAAGACGATTAAGTCAAGTTTGTTGCGGTTAGTAGGACCTAACCCACCTACAAAACATCGAATCATAGTATTGATTCATCAATGGACTGGCCCTAAAAGATGTGTCCATCCAAAAATCACCCGGTGTTGTAAACAAGGTTATTGTGACGAAAACACACCTGCTGGGTACAAATATATGAATGAACTGACAAAAGATTACCGGATACGCATACCGGACTAGCGGCAAGAACCGCCAAACCGGTTGTGTGCTTCCAAAGAAATTTTGTCTGGTTAATCATGTACTACATATTTTGAAATATATATAACTCCAATTTTTACAGATATGGCGCCAAAATAAACATATGTTGAAGGCTAAG